CTGGGACTCTCAAATTCCAATGTGCATTCAAATCACCTGCATTTCTAACAAGTTCCAAGTGATGTATATTCACTCTCAGGCCACTATTTAAATATCAATTCCTCAAACCTTCCAAGATGATCAGGAAATCTTCTTCCGGTTTCCACAGCACCCTGAACTTCTGCACATTAATTATCACATTCATGGTAAGTAATTTACCACCTTTCTTCTCTGTCAATCTCCACATTCCCTAAGGGCAGGGACTATGCTTCTCTTGCCAGCAGGTACTTCCCAAGTGCCTAACTCTATGCCTGCCACACAGTAGGTACACAAAAAATATCTGCTGATTGATTTAAGTGATTATTCAAATCTGTATTTCTTGACATGGAAAGATAATTACAATGCAGTTAAAACAAATCAGGTCACAAAGCATGTACACAGCATTATCCCAGTTTTGTTCTATGTTATTTATTTTCATACAGAAAAGCCTAGAATCATATATTTGAAAATGTAAATAGTATTATCTTTGTATAAAAATTTGTCTCAAGTCTCCTTTAGCATCTGATAGCAAGATTTTGAATAATCATGGGATTTTTTTTGCATTTTCTTGCATATTTTTCATTTTTGCTCAAGTATTGTTTTTATTATTATTTTATAACAATAATAAATAGTAATTATTTTTTCTAATTATTTTGAAAATAAACATTAAATTCTGACACTTAACTTCTGGTTTTCTAATTACTGCAGTTGCCACTCTTTTAATATATGGAGCTAACAATCTGTCCACATTTCTTCAAAATGAGATTAAGAATTTCTTTTGTAATGTGAAGCCAAGTGGAGGGTTAGGTCTGGGATCTATAGCCTAAGCACTGCTTACCACCAGGAAGCTGGCTGTAAGGTGAACCTGACTTAAGAAGGTCAGCCAATGTCTGTAAGACAGCATTTTTTGCCAACTCTCTCTTTATTGATGGTGGATCAACAAAATACACAAGCAATTTTACATAGACAAGTCAGTGAAATAGGACATAAGTCCATAAATAGACTCAATAACACATTGGAATTTAAGGTATGAGGAGCTGGCATTTCAAAATAGTGAGGAAAGAGGATTTGTTGGCAATAATGATAGTATGCAATTGGCTAGTCACTTGGGGGGGAGAATAATGCTTATTCTTCACATCAAGTTAATTACAGATGGATCAAAGAAAGCTATAAAATAACTAGAAGAAAACATGAGAAAATACATTTAAATGTTAAGTGTAGAAAAGCCATTTCTAAGAATAACACCAAGACCAGAAGACATGCTAGAATGACTGCTAGTTTTTACTACATAAAAATTAAACCGTCTGGGTAGCATAAAACACCATAACAAAAATAGAAAGCAGACAACAAAGTAAAAGAAAATGTCTACTATACATAACAAATAATTAAAATCTTTAATATAAAAAGATCACTTATAAATCAATAAAGAAGAGATGAATGATGACCCAACAGAATATGAATTGATAATTTTCAAAAGGAGAAAAATAGCCAAAGGCCTCACCATCATTGAAAATAAAAAAATATATATAGTAACTAAAAGATATGTTTCCTCATCAGATTAGAAAAAAAATCAAGATTGATAATTAGTTGTTTGATAAGGGTGAAAGGAAATGGAGATCTTAAACTGTTGGTAGACTACAGGTCTGAATAATTTTTCTGGAAAGAAGTCTGGCAATATACATCAAAAATTTTAGAGCAAAGGTTATCTGGGTGGCTCAGCTGGTTGAGCATCTGACTTCAGCTCAGGTCATGAACTCACGATTTGTGAGTTTGAACCCCATGTTGGGCTCTGTGCTGACAGTGCAGAGCCTGCTTGGGATCCTCTGTCTTGCTCTCTCTCTGCCTCTCTCTCTCTCTCAAAAAATATACATTAAAAAATTTTTTAAAGCAGGAAGTTTAATAAATAGTTCCACACTTGGAATCTTCTTACACTGCAGCTCAGTTAAGTTAGTGAATAATATGAAAATATTTAAATGTTCACACATAACCCTCAGTGAAAAATCAGTCTATAGAATGCCATATGTGGTTTAAACACATGCACATACAAGGAGATGTTAGAAGGCTATTCACCAAACTGTCAACTTAATCTAAGTGTTCAAACACTTTTAATGATTTCTCTTATTTTAAAACCCCAAATCTGGGGCGCCTGGGTGGCTCAGTTGGTTAAGCATCTGACTTCGGCTCAGGTCATGATCTCACGGTCCATGGGTTCGAGCCTCCCATCAGGCTCTGTGCTGACAGCTCAGAGCCTGGAGCCTGCTTCAGATTCTGTGTCTCCCTCTCGCTCTGCTCCTTCCCTGCTCATGCTCTGTCTCTCTCTGTCTCTCAAAAATAAATAAACATTTAAAAAAATTTTAATAAAGAAAAGAAAAGAAAAGAAAACCCCAAATCTAAAATTCCATGCTAAGAATTCTAACTAAGCAACTATAAACTTCTCTTTAAAATACAGAAACTTTAAAAGCAAAATTATAATTGATATGAAACATTTTTATAGTTCTCATTAAAATTGTTGTTTAGCAAAATAAGCATAAGTTTGAAAATTTTATTGCTATTTTAAATAAAGTTAAGTATGTACCTATCTAGCCCATTAAAATATCCTTGGTGTTTGCCACAAATATCAATTACTACATGTGGAATTGGGAAAGCATTAAAACTATATAGCCACAAATACTGTTAGGCTTTGTAGTTAACTGTTCATCTCACAGAAAAAAACAAAAGCCACCAAATGAAAAGGTATTCATTTTGTGTTTACAATTACCTTTCTTGAGAACACTTATTAGTGCAGAAAAAATTATACATTTCTTTGAACTTGTAGGCTCAGCAGATAGATATATTTTGAAAAGGTTAAGCTATGTTTAGCAAGGTAATCCTCAAGAGATGGATGCCAGAGAATTAAATATTCAGTGCTTAAATTAACTTCTTATTTGGTACTTAGGAACAAATTGCCAAGAATTATCATCATCAAATAGAACATTTATTGACTCTCTTGGAAAAAGCAAGATCTACTTGAAGAAAAAATTTTTAGAATTGGAAAGATACCAGTATTTTTAACACTTTACATGACTATTAGAAGCTGTAACACCTCAAAATGATGCTTAGATTACAGTGTTAATGGAAATGACTTAGAATAGTGGGTTCACGACTACTAGTTTATAGTAATGTCTTTATTTCCCACTCTCAGCTTTAGGCTTTTCAAAGACATGCCAAAGACTGTACTGCACAACTGTTATTTTCTACCAGAGAAACTGTAACAGTTTGGAAATTTCCAAAATTCTTCACATAAAATTTGTTTCAAAAATTTCAACACACCAGATAAATTAAAACTAAAAGATTTAGATGTTTAAGATTGTGAATAGTAAATACATCTTTGAAAAATATTTTTGCCTAACTAGAAAATAAGCATGAGAATGACCCTGTTTTAGAAATTTAAACTGAATTTCATTGTAATAACTGAGCACAGGGAAACCAGATGTTTATTTTTGATGGGAGCGGGGAGAGAGAATGAGCAGGGGAGGGGCAGAGAGAGAGGGAGACAGAGAATCTAAACCAGGCTCTGAACTGTCAGCTCAAAGCCTGAATTCAGGGGGCTTGAATTCAGGACCATGAGATCATGACCTGAGCCAAAGTCAGATACTCAACCGACTGAGCCACCCATGTGCCCCCAGATGATTTTACACCTTGAAAACATGCAGTAAAAGTGTTATAATTTTTACTAAAAGTCAAGTTTGAAGAAATGAGCTCAGAATACACCATGGAAAGAATAAGTTACTAATAATGCTGTGATAGTCTGTGTAATTAAAAGTGGTCTTATAAACTATTCTCGTAAGTCTAAAATACTTAAAATGTAATACTTAAAATGTCTCTATTTAAATTTAACTTAATGTTTAATGTTTTGAATATTCTTAAACATGTAGTAGATGATTTTTCAGGATTTATAGCAACTCTTACAAAAGGCAAGAGACTTACAAATATGCATTCTCAATGGGCAGATGATATCACTCCCAAAGGGGTGAAAGTTGGTGCCTGGGGAGGGAGGTGATGACAGCTTACTCTTTTTATGTATATGGCATGTATGCTCGTGTACACACACACACACACGCGCGTGTGCATATATGACCATGAGATGCACATTATATCCACGGTATTAAAATTTAATGGGGAAGGGCAATTGGGAGGGGAAAAGTCTAAAACTCCTCCTTAAGTGGGTGATCACAAAAAAACTGAGAAAAACTAAGACACATGTGGATTCTTATCACTATCTAGAGATAAGAACTTGGGCAAGCAACCTGATATTATGGAGCCTAAGCTTCTTCAATAATAAAATGGAAATGATGACTTATTACAGTTGAAGGTTTAAAAAGGAAAGATGCAAAGTACACCACACAGTACCAGGAATGTAGTTTCTGCTAACTACATGTGAGCTCCCTTCCCTTTTCTCCTCTCTTTCGAGGATGCTATAAATTACATTCTTTACAAAAGAATACTCAGATGCCAAAGGAAAGTGAGACACAAAGAAAAATGGAAGAAACTCCAGAGGTAATGACTTTTGTACATAATCCCTGGACTCAAGTAGGCCCAATGATGGTGTGAAATCCAAAAGACTGACTTTGAATCCCAAATCTGTGATTTTTCTTAATGTATAAGCCTGGCAAAGTTGCTTGATTTTTATGAACCTCAATTTTCACATCTGTATTCTACAGAGTTGTTATGAAGAACAAATGATATAATGTATGTGACACTCTTTGGTAAGTAGACACCACTAAATTGAAGTTACCTTATGATGGGCCATGGTTCATGTTAATAACAGTAGGAAATGAAGACACTGTCCTAGACTGTGTGTATGCTGGGAAGGAATGGAAAAGGACAAAACTACTCCTCTCTAGCGTCTAAAAACAGAATTGTGTCATCAAACTCTAAACCTCAACGATAGAATTTGACAGTTTAAATCTAGTATAAAAGAAAATTACCAGTGGAACTCTTACCTGTCTCTGTACTCTTCATCTGTACACTGATCACCTAAGAAAGAGGTTCCCAATATCCCAAGCAAAGTACTGTGACCTTTTTTGTCAGCTGTATGGTACACTCGAGAAGCCAGGTGCAAGTTAACAGGCAGCTCCTGGGCTGGGACAGTGGTGCACAGATCATGAAGGGTAGGAGAGGGGTAGTCTTGAGGAATTCTGCAGCAAAGAAAAGAAAGGGAGCTTCTTTAATCATTTTGTGGTCTTTCAACATAAAATACATTAACAGTTTAGTTTAAGCTCTAAAAAGGGTGTCTAAACATATAAGATTAAAAACTATAATAATGGTTTATAACAAATTTAATATCACAATTGGGGGCCAGATCTTCAAAGTTATATACCCAACTTTCTGCTGGAGATCTCAACCTATATGACTTACAGATACCTCAAAAGCAACGTGTTGAAAAGCAAACTCATTACCATCCTGCCCAAATGTCTTCTCTCCTGACTTCTGTAACTCCATTGGTGACATCATATCCAGCCATCATGCATTGCTACTCTGCTCGAATGCTAATGTCCCTGAAGAGGTAGAATAATGTAGTACATTATCCATTAACCAGCATCAATGAACTCAAGTCTCTAAGTTTATGCAGAACTTGTCTCTCTCCTGCCTTTCCAAAGTAGAGAAGAACACATGAAGATCTTTCTTAATTTCCATTGCCACTTGTCATCCAGTCAACAAATACTTATTGAGCAAGTACTGCTACTACTCTATGCTAGGTGATTTACATACATTCTCTCCAATTCCCACAATGAACTTATATGGGAGGTATTGTTATCCTTATTTTAGAGCAGGCTTATTTTGGAGAGCTCATAAAATTAGCAAGTAACTACTAGGATCTAAACACAATGCTGTGGACTGTAAGACAACTTTTTTTCTTATTACTGCCTGTTAATAACCCCTGAGGTAGAAGTGGCCCCCATCCAGTTCTACTCCATCCCCGCCTCCCTACTAAAATTATACTCTTACACTAAGCAAATGATGACCTTTTCATCAAATCAAACCAAATGAACTTTATATCATGTTCTCTAATCTCCAAGACACAGCTGACCATATTAATGATTCTTCCTGAAACTGCTCTTTCTTTGCGAGCTTTTTTAAAACCTGTCCTATCCCAGCTCTCCATCTACCTCCCAAATTCATCATAATTTGATTCAGTCACTCAATTTTCTTTCTCCATCTTCCAGACTGGGTAATGGCTTCCAGGGTTGAGCTTCTTTTTGAACATTGAAAAGCAAGCTTCAGTGTTTCAACTGTTTTCTCTTGTGCCAAGACCTCCCAAATTTGACCTCCAGTATCACTATCTCACCTAGATTCCTCATCTTTAAGATACAAAACATTGAGCCATCTTTGAGTCCTCTTCCCTTCACCTGAAAATCCTATGAAAGACTGAGCTTCTCTGCTGCCCAGGGCTGCTGCTTCTCCCTGCTCACTTCCAAGACACTCTTGTCAAGGTCCTCATCACCTCAGCCTGCATTAGCAAGGGTCTGCCAGTTGGATTTGGATTGAATATGACATCCTCGGTCTCTTCCTCTCTTCCATTCCTCCCACAAAATTCTGGCACATTTGTCTTTAAATACTCCTTTGCCCAGCATAATGGCTCTCTGCTGCTTGCTGCATTTGTCTAATTTCCTCTTTCTAAATTTCAAGGCTCTTAGCATGTGGCCCTACTTCTAACACAGACATTAGGGTCAGACTGCCTCTGTTCAAATCCTGTTTAAAATTATCACTAGGTCAGGGGTGCCTGAGTAGCTCAATCAGTTAAGCATCTGACTTCAGCTTAAGTCATGATGTCACAATTCATGAGTTCAAGTCCTGCATTGGGCTTGCTGCTGTCAGCGCAGAGCCTGCTTTGGATCCTCTGTCCCATCGTCTCTTTGTCCCTCCCCTACCGTCTGTCTGTCTGTCTGTCTGTCTCTCTCTCTCTCACTCTCACTCTCTCTCCCTCCCCCCCGATCTCTCTCTTTCTCCCCCTCCCTCCCTCCCTCTCAAAATATATAAACAAACTTAAAAAATAAAATAAAATTATCACTAAGTCATACACAAGTCAATTAATTTATTAGCACATCCTGGATAAAGTTACTTTAAGGAAGAGAGGAATTGAGAACAAATTGATGGCTACCAGAGGAGAGGGCAACCAGATGGGCAAAATGGGTGAAGAAGAGTGAGAGATATGGCTTCCAGTTATGGAATAAGTCACAGAACAAAAGGCACAGCATGGGGAATATATTCGATAGTACTGTAATAGTGTTGTGTGGTGACAGATGGCAGCTATACTTATAAACATGGCATAACATGTAGAATTGTGGAATCACTATATTATATACCTGAAACTAATGTAGCATTGTGTGTCAACCATACTTCAATAATAAGAAAAGAAAGAAAGGATTGAATGTATTGGGTGGCTCAGTCAGCTGAGCATCTGACTCTTGGTTTCAGTTCGGGTCATGATCTCGCAGGTTCGTGAGTTCAAGCCTGGCTCTCATGGGGCTCTCTGCAGACAACACAAAGTCTGCTAGGGATTCCCTCTCTCTCTCTGCCCTCCCTAGCTCACTCTGTCTCTGTCTCTCTCTCTAAATAAATTATTTAATTAAATTTAATTTAATGTGTCTCACATGACAGATATTAGCTATTATATCAGTTTCCAGGACAATTTACAGGGCCAACAATATCTGTCAGTTCCTTCTGTTGTGGGTCAAATGTTGCTTATCCTTTTGCCCATGTTTAAACATCCTTCAAACAATGCCTCCAAGACAAACTTCGCTGCAAAATTTACTGCTTTTTAAAAAATATTTCTTTTGATACATTGCCTTGTTCTCGTGCCACCCCTTCTGACCCTTTATCTAATGGGTTGATGCCAGTCTGCCCATCAACTGCTCCATGTGTTCTAGATAGTAGCATAGTATGAAGAAGATAGACTTTAGAGTCGGCTGGGCCTGGATTAGAATCTCAGTTCTAACACTTGCAAGCTATATCACTGGTCTCTCTGAAGGTCTTCTGTAAGATAAAAAATAAAAACCCCTAACAAATGCCTTTGTAAAATCAATAAAAAGAAGTCCTGGACTGTGGAACTTCTCAAGAAATGCTTGTTTTATTTTTATTACCGTTGTTATTAATTTGTACTGGACAACACCCACCCCACTGCTAGGCACAATATGGACATTATTAAATCACTAATAGAGAGCAGTTTATATCATTTCCAAAATAGCATAGGGCTCCACCTGAACAGAGCATAAAACTTACACATGTTTGAATAGGATAAACCTGTGGGAGCTGGAGGTGGGGGTGAGGAGGTGAAGAGAGGTAAAACCAAAGCATTTGGAAATGCCTGAGACAAAGAGACCTAACTGGAGGAGTGGAAATGGGTGTCCAGAAAGCCAGGAATCCTGAGAAAGGATTGGGGGGGGGGAAGAACTCGGGGGGGGAAGGATTGGGGGGAAAAAGGAGGGGAGAAAAAGGTGAGCTCTGATGTCAAGCTCATCTACATCATCATTCTGTCTGGAACAGGTCCTGGCTAGTGAAACGTACTTCAGATTAAATTACAAACGTTTTTTCCTTGAAAAAGCATCACAACCACTCTGAATTCCATCATACTCTAATAACAGATTTGTAAGTGAATCTCCCTAGGTTATTGAGCTAAATAACATTACGTTCCAAGAGATGGCTGAATTCCCAAGAAAACAATTTAATTTGGGGGCTAGTCACAGGTGAGAAAAGTTATGTAAAAAATGGCTTAGAGAGAAAAGAGCAGTGAATAAAGGATTTTCAGAAACAGTTTTCCAAAATTCCCTTTCATTATATAAATTTCTTAACTATCAGGTTTTCATTCCTCTGCATCTTATTCTTACTTCTCTCCAATGGAAATTTCTAATTTCAATTTTAATGAATTAACACAGTACTATATATTTCAAAAAGATCTACAAATATTTTTGGCATGTTCAAGAAAGGCTGTATGTTTTTATAGCACACTCTCCTTAAAGAGGACTATTTGTCATTCTTTGGAACACTAAGACATAAAAAAGAAAAGACTCTGACTCTGTGTGTGGCCACACTACTTTGCTTAATGCACTAAATGCAAGGTTTTTTAGGGGAAAAAAAATCAAGAAGTTTCTGCTTCATTGATAATCTGACAGTAACTATTTATTGAAGGTAAAATACTTGTTGTCTGCTGTCACTATTTGTTTTAATACATAATCTTGCTAACTAAATGAGCTTAAAGCAATGCAGATAAGCAATGGCATGTACAGGGTCACTTAAATGCCAATTTGACTCTTTCATAAACTTTGGAATTCTTTTCCCATGAGTCTATTCTCAGCTACTAAATTGTGAGTAATATCCATTTACAAAGTTTAGGCTGGCCATAAAAAGGTTGTCTTCCATGTCCAATACACCTTTCAGTGCCCTAAGCAACAACAAAAGCTAATAATTAAAGCTTCTTTGAGCCCTAATAAAGAGTTAAATGAAGAAGAATCTAGAATAAACCAACCCATAAAAACCTAGAGGTAAAATAAGGAGAAAATCAGTTTCAACAAAGTGATTGACAAAAAATAAACCCATTACTCTAAACTGCATTTACACATTATTATTCAAAATTTTGGTTGTATCCTCGTGTAGCAAGAATTTCCATTAAAAATGAGGGGAGGTGGAAATAAAACATGAAATAATGGTAGAGAAAAATGATGTCATCTTACCAAATTTGCCTATTTTCTGTTGGGTTGAATTTTATTTTATTTTATTTTGCCATAACAAAATTAACCAATATAATAAGGAGTTAATCCAAATTATGTATTAATATGACCAAGTATCAGATCTGACATGTTAACATTTAATTGTCCTTTGTCTCACTAAGAGCTATTTTTATTCTAGTTAGACCATTGTTATATCATTAAACTAAGTACATTGGTCAAAAGCATTAATAGAAAGAAGTGTGAAGTATAGCACATATATCCTAACCATAATATCTAATACCAACTCTTCCTGTGGGAAAGTTTAACTTAGATCTCATATATGAATTTCCTCAATATTTATTCTTCCTTTAAAAATGCATATTCAGTTATCATTGCTACTGACAGTAAAATTTGTAAACTTAAGGAAGTTACTTTTTTTTAGGTAGTTTTTGATCCCACTGGGGTTTTGAACACCTTCCTTGTCTCTGTTGCGGAATTTCTAATTTACTTTTTTGTGTTTGCTTAACTTCTTTTCCTCTGATTTGCAAAAATTCTGATGATTTCACCTTCAAGAAAATATAAAGTATGCTGTTAAGGAAAGTTGCAACATGAAAATTAGATCTTTCTCTCATATTTAATGGTCTATCTTACATTGAAACTCTTAATTTCTATGTATATTTGATAACAGAATATAAATTCTAAAGGTAAGCTGACATTTCCCTCTAAATCTCTTTCTAGGTTTTTACATATACACCTTAATAGCAATAAAATATTAGTATCATATTTATCTATAATATTTTATTTATTGCCTTAAAATTATTAAAGATACATTTTCCCTTGATAGATCTACTCTTCTTGACTGGTATTTTTTCTTTAAGATATTTTTTAAGTAATCTCTACACCCAATGTGGGGCTTGAACTTACAACCCCGAGATCAAGAGTTGAATGCTCCACTGACTGAGCCAGCCAGGTGCCCTTTGATTGGTATTTTTAATAGAACTTGCCCTTAGCCTCTTAAAAGTTTGGCATGACAGGTGATTGCAAGCACAAGCCAAGATTAATTTTAACTGTTTTGAGCAGCGTTTATCAATTTGTACTTATTATACAGTTGCATTGTGTTCCTTAAATAATTGCCTTTTTATCATTATAGGTATTAGGAGTATTGTTTTTCTAGATTTCCTAGAAAATTTGCAGAATTTATGATAATACTTCATCTAAAGATATTTTTTCTCTGTTGGTTGCTCTGGTTGTTGTTGTTGTTACTGTTGTTTTCCTTAAACTAGGTTTAAGGAAGAAAGCAGAGAGGCCTTCCTTAGGGAAAGCAGAGAGATATTGTTGAATAAGTAGAAGGAGGCCAAATAAAGAGAAGTTCTCCTATATTAGGTACAGGGTTTAGGCTCCCTGCAGTAGATAGGACAGAGCTATTACAATTTCGTAAGTAAATAAGTGGTGATGAATAAGGAAAGCTCAGAGTACAGACCAATCCATCTCACTACCTAGTTAATGTTTGAGTTCCCCTAAAGTTTCTCTACCTTATGGTCATCCATCCCAGCCTGAACACGATGAGGAACAGAGGACTTGGATATACCCAAAGGCAGTCACTGTCTCTGAAACTCTACCAGTTGTTTGCTTGTTTATTTGTTTGTTTGTTATAGAGCCTAACAATTTTTACCCACCAGTCTCATTTCAAACCTCAGGAGCACACAGGTACAATCTAGCTCCTTCCATTTGATTGATAATCAAATATTTGAATACAGCTGACTCTCCTGGACCCACTTTTCTCCCAGATAAACATCATTAGTCCCTTCAATTCTACCTTACATGTTTTTGAAGCACTGTGCTTTGTCATCTTGAAGGCTCTCTTCCAAATGGTCTCTAATTTGTCAGTGTCACTCCTAGGATTAGATACCCAGATCTGAACACAACATTTGTGTTGTGTGATGTGATCGGATCAACCAGGAGAAAGATGATCCTCTTTTATGATATTCGTCAATCAGCACAAACTATGATTGCACTTACTTTCCTATCACAAAACTAAATCATAGCCTAAAACTCTGAGGTCTTTTTCATATTTGCTCTCCGTCATGTCACCTTGTATCTATGCACTTAGCTTATGGACCCAAGGACAGAACCATTCACACATTTATCTCAATTAAATTTCATCTGAGGTCTGGCCAACCAAATCTCACCAATCTCATTTGGATGCTATCTACAAATTCAATCTGCAAATCTTCCATATTCTCATCCAAATTACTAGGAAATATGTTGAACTGGACTCAGCCCTATTGCAGTCCACTAGGGACTCTTATGACTAGCTGTGCATCCTTCGCATAAGTACAAATCCATTTAGCAGTTCACCTGATTACAGTCTTGTCTACAAAACTGTCATTTGGAGGCTTACATAAATGGATTGCCAAAATCCAAAGGCTAATGACAATAACTAATGTTGACTGAGCTTTCTTGTAGGCCAAGCTCTTCACTCTCAGAGGCTTTCACTGAACTCCAGGTCCAACTCTTTTCTGATATTCAGTCTAGTATTTCTAGAAAAAGAAATAAGGTTGGTCTTCTATAGCTTGTTCTTAAGAAACTCATGCTGGCTCCAAGTAATTACTGTTTCCTCTTCTAAGCTGTGTACAGGGGCTCTTAGAAGGTTCTTAAAATTCTTTTAATGATTCATTTAATCATTCCAGAGTTTTGTCCAAGATCAATACATACATACAGAAACCATAACCCTTATCCTTAAAAAAATAAGACTCAGATTTGCAGCTGCCAATCTCTAGGCTTCTAGGTCCTCTCCTACTTCAGCACCTCCTCAAAGCTGACAGGGGTCAGCTGACAGGGGTGCAACAGGCTTCAACCTAGCTACCTGAGCTGACAGGCTCCGATATCGAAGTTAACTCTGAAAATCTTTTACCAATCTTGGGCTTCAGGTTTCTTTTATCACTTCTTTTTCTCTTCATTCTAAACTAAAGATTATTCTCCTTGTCAGATTTAAGAGAAGCAAAGTACAAGTTTATCAGCTTCCTTTTCTCTTTGTCATATTTCTGTTTATTTAAAACCTCAACCTTTTTCCAAAATTAAATTACGGCAGCTCTGTCATATGTTGTCAGCACATTATTCACCCATAATGACAGGGCTATCTTTCTTTATTTCTCTCTTTGCTTTTAAACTAATATGGAAAAAAATACTTTTTTTTATTCTTAGCATGATTCACAGGCCTCAACACATTGTGGATCTTAAGGTTTTTTATATAATTGTTATAGCCATATGCCACTTTTATGTTTATCTATGGATATGCATTTCTTCTTTCATCTTTTATACATGTTTAAAACTCTGAATGCAATAGATCACTCATAACTGTTTTGTGAGAACTGGAGGGATTTAGGGCATCCTGCATCTATTAAGCTTCCTTCCATTTAAAATCTCAGGACACACAGTATATACAATTTGCCCATGCAAATTTTTTTTACCCTTTTCCTTCTTAAAATGCTCAACAATCCTCTCACAGACCCTTGTGTCAGTCATTTCTTCATAGTCACCATTATCTAATTTTTCTTTTTTATTTAATTTATCTAAGTCATGTTGGTCATGACTTAGGTCCTAATAACCTTTATTATACTAATGAGCTTCTAAGAATATAAATAGCCAATAAAGTAAAGACTGATAAAATTCTCTGGGTTTTTTTCCCTGAATGAGACCTTCTGGCATATTTCTGAGCAGTGCTCCTTTATCACACCTTTGTGCTTGTTCTATTTGCTGTGTCAAAAGAGGTCTTCTTGTCCCCAGATCTGGCCTGGCGTGCTGGAGTGTATTGTTCCTCATTCCTGTGCCAGAGATGCTAGAGACTAATTTTATGACCTCGAATGTCCAGAGTAAAGTTCATGGATTATAACTGATCTTGAAATGTTAATGCAAATAAATACAAGATACTTGGTGGGATGAGTCACAGGAATGCTTCTAGTGCCCTTTTCTATGGTATTTTTAATATGCCCCACACTATCCCAAAACAATAATCCATAAAAGTCTTTTTTGGTTTTCTCTTCTCCTCCTCTTGAAAATTTGTGGTTCCAGTTCAGAGCTCTCTTAATCCATTCTCCAAGTCTTTCTTGCCCAATCATTTCTCCTAGTTTAGTGAGGGACACTCCATCCCTAGTCACTTTTGCAACTGAGAGCCTGTTTTTGTACTTAACCAGACACCTGTTAATTGTTGTTATGAAAGAGCCGTGTGGCAAAGGGGTAAAGATAAAGGTTCCAGAACTGGATCAATCTCAGTCCAAGCTCTGCCTTTATGACCTAACTAGATATTTATACTTAGACAAGTTATTTATCTTCTTTATGACTCAGGTTTTTCAAATATAGTCTTGTTAAGAAATCTGTTATTAGGAAAACATAAGACAACATATGTAAAACACTTAGCAAAGTGGTTAGCATGCAGTAAATACTCAATAAATTCTAGTTACCTTAGGGAAGGACTGCCTCTATTTACCAAAAATAAATACATTTTCATAATTTCTTAATAATATTTAGCAACAGTCACAACAATCCAAAAGAATTAGTGTGAAACTTTCCTAATGAGGGATTTGAATTCCTGCCAGACCATGGTGGTTAAATTGCTGTCCAGAAAGTCCACGTCATCTTTTAACACATTCAGTAGCTAATCATTTGCTTCTCATGCCCACATTTTATTTCCAAAGTTCCAATGTTCAGGTAGAAGTTACCTGTGCCCAATAGCCTAACACTTTTTCATTAAGATGCCATAGCCTTTAAAGACACTGTCAAAGAAAAGAAAAGAGAAGAAACAAAGAAAAAAGAAAAATATGCTAAGATCGCCACATCTAGAAGGTGTGAGTCTGAAACACAGGATTCACCTGGAGGAGTTAGCAGTGAGTGGGGTCACTTAGCCTTGGCAGAATTCATTTCATACCCAAAGTGCAAGCTTTAGAAACATAGCATGACTTTTGATGAAGCCTGTAGTCCAACATAGAAGTCCTTTCTCCACAGCAATGATGGATTTTTCTCTGGTCAACTATTATTTGTGCACTTTCCTTATTATGCATTATTTCCAAAAGATCAACATGCTAGCATCATTTAAGATGAACTTAAGAAAGTAAAGCTTGAGAAGTGAAGGAAAAAAACAAGAGGCAACTGCACTAATCCAAACATAGGGTAACCAGGACCCAGACTAGGTTGAGAGCAACTGGAAAAGACAAGGAAAAAAATTACAAGCAATGTTAGGAGGTGAGGTGCCTGGCTGGCTCAGTTGGTGGAACATGCAACTCTTGATCTTGGGGTCATGAGTTCGGGCCCCAAATTGGGTGTAGAAATTACTTAAAAATAAAATCTTAAAAACAATAATAATGTTAGGAAGTATCTAAGCCTTGGAGGCTGATTATGGGTGAAAGCAAGGGAAGGGAAGATCACAGATAAATCCATGGTTTCAGAGTTGGAATTTTATGGCACAAGTTGAAGAATGGCTAGTTCACCTGGTGGGAACAGAGCAGGAACATGGTCTTCAGTGGGAAGAGGGAACCCAAAAGAGGAGGGAAAGTGGTTTACCCAAGAAGTGGTATCCATTTGAATAAGTCAGAGAGAGAATCCATGGTAATAAGACAATATTTTGTGGATCAGAAAAAAAAGTGGCTTCTTTAATCCTAATAATAATGTACCCATTTGGGGGAAGACTGGGTGGCTCAGTCGATTAAGCATCTGACTCTTGATTTCAGCTCAAGGCATGATCTCACAGTTCATGGGTTCAAGCCCAGCATCAACACTAGCAGCACAGAGCCTGCTTGGGGTTCTCTCTTTCCCCCTCTCCCTCTTCCCCTCCCCTGTTTGCTCTCTCTCTCAGGATAAATAACTAAACACTAAAAAAAAAAATGTACCCCTTTTAAATAAACTCATGTCAGTCAAAAAGTAACTCAAATTAAAGAAAAGTAATAAGTAAATAGTAGTAAGGCAACACACAAATATGGTAAAAATTATTTAAATTATACATATATAAAATGAATCTGGAAAACATTCTCACAACAGGAAAAAACTCAGGGTTAAAATAAACTCATAAACAGGGCAAAGTTGTAAAATATAAAAAGCTCAGGACCAGCCTTGGTCCCTAAGCTACAGTTCCTGGCGCCTCCAAGATGGTAATGGGAGGACTCTTGGTCAATTTCTGAAAGCCCTGAGGTCCTTCACTCCTTAAAAACGTGTCTTCTCCCCCAGAGTTGTAATTAGATTTGACAATAAAAGCCCCCAAAAGACAATTTGCATGCAGAGGGCCCTTTTTTCAGGGTGAACTTACCTCCACGCCATGGCCCTTGCCCAGGCCATTTCTTCACATTTGCACATCCTCAACAATCCTGTTTCCAACACAAATAGTGTTTTACCTTTAAAGACTCCCATTTGGCTGCTTTGGAATCATCTATGGGCTGTTCGTCTTTCAAAACTTTACTTGATTCATCTGCTGGTTGAACTTCCAGAGCTTCCTGAGATTTAAATACCATGCTTTCTGCTTCTGAGACTCCCCACTCTAATACATCCTCTTGTTCAAACTGGAAAATACTTGATAAAGTTTCAGGAAGTTCCTCAGGCACATTCTGTAGGAAAACACAAACGTACCAAAAAGTTCTTCTTATTGGTCCTTCCAAAGTTTTAAGTTGCACAATGTTCAATAAACCACAAAATGATTATAAGAATGCATGAATGAAATTAAGCAAAAGTAGTAAGTTTCCTCTGAAGATTTAGAAACAGAAATTCAAATTGACTTAAAAATGTAAAGGCTAACAAATTATTTTCTCTGGCCCTTGTCTCAGAAAATACAGCTACCTCCCAGGTAATTATGTACCAACACTAAGGAAATCATAAGACCAGTCTTACCCTGACTTTACCCCACACTCATACAGAATCACGGTCCACTGAAACATCTGACCTCTGCCCAATCTGAGGTTCTTTGGTCCTGTGAAATGGGATTCCTGCTAGACAGATGCTCTTCCAGAAGCCTGACTTCAGGTTGTCAAAGGAGTTGACCCAGAGGCCTCAAAAAGACCACCTTGATATCCCAACTCTATTCCAAGCCCTAATGAAAAACTCTCACAAGATATCACTCTTAAAACTATTTTGTCTTCCTTTAAAATGTCTCACTGGGGCATGTGGTGGCTCAGGTGGTTAAGCATCTGACTTGATTTCAGCTCATGATCTCATGGTCATAGATCAAACCCCACATAAGGCTCCGTGCTGAGTGTAGAGCCTGCTTGGGATTATCTCTACCTCTCTCTCTGTCCCACTCCTGCTTATGGTGTCTCTCTCTCTCCCCCTGCCAAAATAAAGAATAAACATTTTTTTTTTAAAAAAGTCTCACGGACTTAACTTGTATCTAACCAAGTCTTACAGGAAATCTCTTTAGAGCCATTTTTGGATATTAACCAATACTAAACCAATATTATTTGGGATTATGGAGTACTGGCACTTAAAACTTCACTGCCTCAAATTAACAGATGATAAAACTTGTCTGATTACCCAAAAATCTGAATTCTAGAGAACGACTTGAAAATGCAATTGTTATCACTTTGTTCTTAATGCCTTCATTTGTTAATAAGTAAAATAAAGGGTAAAGCCAGCATATAGCATCAAATACTATATAAATATCTTTATTATGCAAAAAGGGATGGCTAAACCAAGAAATTTCCATTTGTAAAGTGAAACTTTAATCTGGAGCTCATATTTTTATAAAACTATTTACTGGATATTACTATAACTTATTGTAACTAGAGGGACAATATTCAAATCCTGTATCTGTCAATTAACATAAGTATGATTTTGGTCAAGTTACTTAACCCTTGTTAGTCTCATTTTCCTCACTGATAAAAAAAAAAGGGGGGGGTTAACAAAATCTTTTTCATAAAATGGCAGATAAATACACTCGAGGAACAGGTGTTATGAGCCCTATGTTGTCTGCTTATGACAAACTCATTCGTTTCATGCTCCATAGATTTGGCACTGTTAATTACTTTTTCTTTTGAATTTCTCTTCTCCTGGCTACAACACACACTCCCAGGGTTCTGGTTTGGAAGACTGAACAGATGAAGGTACCACTCTCCAAAATAGAAAATGGAGGAAGAAACATTTGAGGAGAGGGCAATTGCAATTCTCTAGCTGCAAATGACCCTCTTCAGTACTCATCCCAGCCTTTCTTCCTCCACAAAATGTTTACTGATCCTATCACTCTGTGCCCTGCCTCTATTTCAGCATGTATCATACTGTATTATAACTGTCTAGGTAATCATTATCATAATCATAATCATCAACATATATGAGCATTATCTCATTTAAATTTAATCTTCCACCACAACTTCATGAAGCAGGAAATGTTTGTAACCCCATTTGGTGGATGAAGAAATTGAGACTTCCAGAGTTAAGTAACCTGCCCAAGGTCACACTGACAGTCAGTAGCAGTACTCTGTATGAACCAAGACAACCTGATTCCAAACTGAACTCTCTTACCTTCTCTTACACCCAGCAGACCAGCACTTCTCAAAGTGTGGTCCACAGATTCCTGGTGATTTTTGAGACCCTTTCAGGTGATCTGTGGTGTCAAAACTTTTTCAAAATAATACTAAGTCTTATTTGCTTTTTTCACTGTGTTGGCATTTGCAGCAATGATGGAAAAGCAATACTGGGTAGAACAATGAACCAATACTTTTCAAATGATTAACACATGAGACTACACAAGCATGCAGGGGTTAAAGAGCCATTCAAAGAGCAAGGCAGATCAATGGATTGTAATGTAAGGATACACAATAAGTTACTTTATCTTGTTTCAGGTTTCTCATTGCAACTCATCTTTAAGAAACTACCACTTGTACAGTTTGGATGTATTAATAGAGAATAGTATCCATACTTATGTTAAAAGGCTATTAAAATATTACTTCCTTTTCAATCTGTATGAGACAAGACTTACTGAATATACTTGAACCAAAAGAATATACACAACAGACTGAATGCAGAAACAGATATGAGACTCTAGCTCTCTAAATCAGGTATTATAGAGATTTGCAAAAATAAACACATAAAGAAATAAATGCTACTATTCTTGCTAAATTATTTTTTGGATGTAATTTTTTTCTTAAATAATATGTTTTGTGTTTATATGTAATTGAACATAATAATAGTGCTATTATTATTTTAAGTTAATGAATAAATATTTTATATTTTTTTCAGTTTTAATTTCTATTATGGTAAATATTGGTTGAAATAATCCACATAAACAAAAACTCATTTGGGTCCCTTAAAATATTTTTTAAGAGTTTAAAGACATCCTGAGACTAGAAAGTTTTAAGTGCCTTACAGCTTTAAAGTTTGGGGTTCAGTCAGTTAACCATCCAACTTCGGCTCAGGTCATGGTCTCACGGTTTATGCATTAAAGCCTCGTGTTGGGCTCTGTGCTGACAGCTAAGAGCCTGGAGCCTGCTTCGGATTCTGTGTCTCCCTCTCTCTCTGCCCCTCCCCTACTCACACTCTGTCTCTCTCTCTCAAAAATAATAAACATTAAAAAAAAGACAACTTTAAAGTTTGAGGATTCCTTAAAAGAGAAATTGTGTCTTCCCTATCTTTTATAGCTCAAGTACTCAGTGCAATTGAGTATATCATCTGCAATTATTTGTGAATGAGTGAATGAATAAATAAATGAAAGAAAATGATATGTTTCTTTCTCTGCTATGTACTTAGTCCCTATTTAGAATATCGCTGAACAGTGTTGTCCTTTGTCTCTTTATGTATTGGTCTACTCCATACAATGAGTTCTTCAAGGTCAAGAACCGTCTTTTCTATCTTTGTATTAACTATGTCTACAACAATGTCTACCACATTGTAGGAAAAGGAATAAATAAATAAATAAATTCTTGTCTTTTATAACTATGTGAGGAAATCATTCTCCATGATGATTCAAAAACTATTATATTTTAAATGGTGGGTATTTAAAAAAAAATAAGTTACATTAAAGAACTGAGAGAACTTTGGCCTGTAGCACTGAGATGTTCACAAGTGAAGCTACATGCTCTAAGAGTAGGGTGCCAGGCACAACTTAGGAAGAAGAGATCCTCGTGGCCTATTCTTCCTCAGACAAATCTCAGCACAGGAAGCTTCTAGAACCCTAAGAGAAAAGTAGGATAGACAGATTTCTGCTTTCTGGCAGAGTAGGCATCCCCCAAAATGTGTCTGGAATGAAAGATATCACAGAGGAGCCTTTTTGCCATGACCAAGTATCAAATTAAAAGGTACTTTACCTCGGGGTGCTTGGGTGGCTCAGTTGGTTGAGTGTCCAACTTTTGATTTTGGCTCAGGTCAAGATCTCACACTACATGAGTTCAAGCTCTATATCGGGCTCATGCTGAGTGTGGAGCCTCCTTGGGATCCTCCCTTTCTCTGTCTCTGTCTCTCACTGCTTCTCCTGCTCTTGCTCTTTCTCTCTCACTTTCAAAACAAATAAACTTTTTAAAAAAGGTACTTTGCCTATTAAAAAGCCAGTGATCAGAAGAAGCCCAGTGATTCTTATAAATGTCAAAGCTGAGAGAATGGTTCCCACAGAATTACAAGGAAATCAAGGTTTTGTTTAAATCTTCATTTTAAATAGTCAAGATGATGTCTAAGCTAGGTATCTGATAATTCATAATTTCCTGAAGGTGGTATCTTTTCCTATACTTTACATGAATGTAGTAAGTGGTATTAAGTCATTCATTTATTAATGAAGAATTTCTATTTTTCTGCACCTAACTAATCTTGTATTTTGAAGTTACTATACCTATTAGAAGTTTAGACATCAGAGGTTTCGATATCTACCTGTAAATGGTGATCCCTGGAGGCAGCTACCCTGAATGTCAGTTTTAAGCCCAAAGCATATGTGAGAAAGCTTCAAAATTGATTTCGCCACATATTAGTGACACATATCCTGCGTCCTAAGGTAGGAGATGATAGTATAGAGCAGAAGAAGGCATGGTCTCAACCCAGAAGCATTTCAAACTCTAATAGTTTAACCAGTTGTGGAAAGTAATATTACAGGATCCATGGCTTTTGTGAAGATTCTATATATTTTCTAAGCATGACATATTATCATAAAAATGAAGTGTGAATATTTATGTATGTGGACTCACATTTTCAGGAACTATAGGAGCTTGCAATTTAACAGTATTTTACAAATCCTTTATAAAGGAAATGACCATCGTGCCATAATTTATTTGTATTATGTAAATATGGATTTCTACACACATGGAGCTGTGTTGTCCCATTCATAGGGAATATGTTTCAAATTGCTTTGAATCTTGTCAATATTTTGCCAATGATGGATGGAAAGGAAACTTTATTTCCGAAACAATTTCTGTCATCAGCAGTCCATATTTCTCTACAAAATTTTTCCCTCGTCAATACTAGAAAAAATAAAATGATGCTTTCTTAGAAGCTAATAACCTTTAATTAACTCTCCAACTACTTTCTAGATCTAAATGCCTAGACCAGAGGAATTATTAAAATCTTTCCCTTCTGAAAAGAGTTTTAGGCCTGAGCTCTGAAGGTCTATGATAGGCAGCAACAGTGATCCAAAACAGCCAAGACTCTCAAAGTGATATTGGATTAAATGTTTTTACAGTTAAACACACCTCTAAAATACATTCTTTTATCTTGATAAGCATTCTAGAAACAAGAGACAGACTACTATTTCAATATGGGCAGGGAGGATTTTTATTAAAGACTTTACCATTTGAGGTTCCTCAAAACTTATCTGTAACCCTTGCTCTGCTTGCACTTGCGATGGCTTGTGCCAGTTCACTTTCCCCATCAAAGATGTATCCTTGAAAAAAAAGAAAACCATTAGAATAATGCCAATTTTTAAAATCATTGAGCTATATTATTCAATGCAGCAAAATTCCACTCATTTAATCAGTGAGGAATAAATACAAGAGAAATAAATATGAGCCAGTCAATACTATGCAGTATATGAGAAATATAAAACAAAAGATACAATAAAAATATTTTGTCTATTATTCTGATTTCTTGGCTTTTTCAATTATTGGTATCTATAGATACATCATCAGATTTAATAAGACAAGTAAAGGTAGAGATACTATAAAACACTGCTATTAAATGGCTGTACAAGAAAGATAAAATCAAAACTAAGATTTAATTTAACCAAAAGCAAAAAAGATTATGATTATACTTAAATTTTTAATGAGTATAACTGTTACTATCATTTTTATCACCACTAATGCTAATAGTATGATAACTCTCTATTCAGCTGAAGTGGTAAGAAGAGAACACACCACAATGTCTAACAATAAATAGTAATAAAAAGACCCAGCTCCTGCCCAAACTGTAAAGTCATGGACCAGGTATCAACAGACAAGTTATTTTGCTCCCCTTCACCTTGATTTTATCCTCTTTAAAATGGGCATTTGACTATATGACTTCTGACACTCCCTCTCTCCTCTAGACTTTTAGTACATTCATTATAAACCTCAGAATGGTCAGACATCAGTAGTTGTGCTAAATCAACTCCAGAGTAATGGCATCTTAGGACTTTAACATTTAATGGACTTTTAGAACAAGCTCCAACACTCTTTAAAGGAAAACAACAAAATCTCATATCCTACAATGTAAAATGCACAATGTTCAGCCCTCAATCAAATTTGACTAGTTTCATAGAGAAGCATGAATATGTGACACATAACCAGGAGAAAAATCATTAGAAAAAGAGCCAGAAATTATAGATATGTTGGAATTAGTAGATAAGGATTTTGAAATTTCTTTTATTTTTAATTTTTTAAAATGTTTTATTTACTTTTGAGAGAAAGAGACAGAGTACAAGCAGAGGAGGGGCAGAGAGGTAGGGAGATACAGAATCTAAAGCAGGCTCCAGGCTCTGAGCTATCAACACAGAGCCTAACACGGGGCTCGAACTTGTAAACCACAAGATCATGACCTGAGCCTAAGTCAGATGCTTAATTGACTGAGCCACTCAGGCACCCCAGGATCTTGAAATTTCTAATATAAATATTAAAATGCTCAAATACAAAACATGATGAAGAGTAAATGTAAGATATAAAAACAGAATTGGGCACCTCAGTCAGTTAAGCATCTAACTCTTGGGTTTGGCTCAGGTCATGATCTCATGGCTCAGGTTCATGAGATGGAGCCCCAAGTAGGGCTTTGTGCTGACAGTGCAGAACCTGATTAGGATTCTCTCTCTCCCTGTTTCAGCCTCTCTCCCATTCTCTCTTTGTCCTTCCTACTCTGTCTCTGCCCTTCCTGTGCTTGCTCTCTCTCTCTGTCTCTCAAAATAAATAAATAAGCTTTAAAAAAACAGAATCAAATGGAATGTCTAGATAAAACACATTATCTGAAATAAAAATTTCACTGACTGGCATCAATAACAGAGCAGACATTGAAGAAAAATAATATTTGTTAACTTGAAGATACAGAAACAACACAAATGAATCACAGAGAGAAATAAAAACTGAAAGAAAATTAATGCCCACTCTAACATAATATTTATTTCAAGTCCTAGAAAGGGAAGTGTGAAGAGAGCAAAAAATATTTGAACATTAAAAAATGGCCAAAAGTTTCCAAATTTGATGACAACTATAAACCCCGATGCAAAACTCTCTATGAATTTCAAGCAGAAACATGTGAAGAATACTATGCCAAGCACATTACAATCAAAATGAAGAACACTAGTAATTAAAAAAAATCCTACAAGCATCCAGAGAAACATTAAATACAAAGAAACAAATAATTAGTGGCAAACAATTGCCACAAACTAACACTACAGGCTTCCTATCAGAATTATGCAGACTGGAAGACAACGAAGCAACATATTTAGAGTACCTGTACTGAAAGAAAACACTGTCCACATAAGATTCTATAACCAGCAAAAGTATCTTTCAAAACCAAAGGTGAAATACTTTCTCGGCAAATGAATGGTGAAAAAATTCATTGCCATCAACCTTACATTACGAGAAAATGTTAAAGGAAATATTGTGAGCAGAAGGAAAATGATATCAGAACAAACCTTGAATGCACACAATGGAAATTAGTAGAATGATTAAATATGTGTGTAAATTAAAAAAGGCATTTTCTCTTTTTAAAGTGTTTTAAATATAATGAATGGTTTAAATGAAATCAATAATGTATCGTTTTATAACACATATGGATATGAAGTATGCATTAATGATAGCACAATGATGGGAAAAGGGAAAAGAAGTATTCTTCTGTAAGTTTCTTATACCATATGTGACATGGTATATTATCTGTAGGAATAAGTTAAATATGCACATTGTAAACTACATTAGCACCCACTAAAACAATAAAACAAAAAGGTAAATAAGCTAATTAGTACAAAATAGCATAAAATGCTAAAAAATAATTAAAAATAAACAAATGTGATAAATAGAAACCAAATGGCAAGATAGTAAACATAAACTCAGCCTTATCAGTAATTCTATGTAAATGGTTCTCCAGTAAAAAGACTAAGAGTGTCACTTCAGAGAAAAACAAGACTCTACTATATGACTGTTGTAGGAAACCTACTTTAAGTATAAAGATATAAATAGGTTAAAAGTAAAAGGATGAAGGAGGTTATAACACACAAACATTAATCATAAGAAAACTAGAGTGGCTCTATTAATATCAGCCAAAGTAGACTTCACTTCAAAACAAGAAGCATTAGCAAGAGAAAAATAATCATTTCATAATAATACAAGAGTTAAGTTCCTCAAAAAATAAAAATTATGCACTAATAACAATGCTTCAAAGGACATGTAAAAAAAAAAAACTAACAAAACTGAAAAGAAATAGAAAATTTCATTATTATGTTTGGGAATTTCAAACGAAAACTATCTAACCCCTGAGACTTAGATTTTTATAAATATACTAACTAAATAACAAATGCAAAATGTGAAATCCTGCAAAAATTTCTTTACAATATTTTAGGTTTATGAATGTATCATTAAAGTATAAAACCCTGACAATAATGAACACCAAATTCAGGATACCTTTCACATCTGAGGAGGGAGAGCATTATTGGATTTAGAACCAGGTACAAAGGGGGCCTCTACTTTACATGTAATTTTCTATTTATTTAAATAATGTGAAGTGAATATGACAAAAATATTAAATTTTGAAAAATCTGATGAGTACTTTTTCTACAATTGAAAATATTTTATAATAAAGAAATTTCTAAACACATTTCATGTAGGTAATGCAACAATGTGAAAGATGGATTAAAAATATCTTAACAAAGAAACCTAGGGGCGGGGCGCCTGGGTGGTTCAGTTGGTTACATGTCCGACTTTGGCTCAGGTCATGATCTCACAGTTCATGAGTTGGAGCTGTCAGAGCCTGGAGCCTGCTTCAGATTCTGTGTCTCCCTACCTCTCTTCCCCATCCCTGCATGTGCTCTCTCTTACAAAAAAAGAAATAAAATAAAATAAAATAAATAAAAATTAAAAAAAAAAAAGAAATCTATAGTTTACCTTACTTGTGAACATAAATGCAAAAATCCCAATTAAAATATTTGCAAATGAAATTAATCAGCATATTCAGAAACAATAAATCTTGACTAAGGAAATTCTTCCCAGGACTACATGGAAAATTCATTGCTAGTTCATAAGATTAACAGATTAACATGGAAATTCATATGATCAACTCAGTAACTGCTGAGGATAATCATCAATTAAATTCAACACCTATATCTGAGTAAAAAGTAACTAGAAATGGAAAAAGAACATATTTAACCCCACAAGAAATATTTGCAGATTCTTGCACCAAATGTATTTCATACTAAAACATTAGATAGATGAGGTGCAATGCAACAAGAAAAGAAATAGTACATGCATAAATAACATAAAGTAGAAGACCAAAATGTTTCTACTAATAGATTATGTGACCATATGTTTCATGGAAGAAAGAAAATAAACTGAGAAACTAGTAGGCCAAAGCATATCTAATAAATTCAGTAAATAAAATTTCATGCCAGCAACTTAAACAAGATCCCAGTTTTAAAATAAAAATAAACAGCTAATATAAGCAATAAAATGAATGACTCTCAAAAACATTATGCTTAGCAGAAAAAGCCAGGTTAAAATGGTATCAAAATAGCCAAAAACAGCATCTCCAAACCGCCCCATAAGGTAAATATAAAGACAAAAATACATGAAAACTTAAAAGTATTTGTCTAATTAAAGTTCAATGCTTGGGCTTTTTCTTCTTTTCTATGGGTCATACTTCCTTGTTTATTTGTATGTCTCATAATTGATTGTTGAAAGGCTTATAGCAACCCAGGGAGCCCTTATTTAATGATGACTAATCACAGTAAGAACATTTTTGTTCTTGACTATTTCTAGTGTTTTAACTTGCCCTATTTCCATACTCTGATATTCAGCTAAGCAGTAGCCTTGAAAAATAAAGATAACAATAAAATAATATTTTAGTAACTCTCAGCCATGTGAATGTGTGTCAGTTGTTTATGGTCAGTTTCAGCCTATCGATAGTGATGCTATTAACTGGAAATGCCTGTGGGCACCCACCTCGGCCCATACTATTTGTGATGAGCCCCTAAAGACATTTCCCCAACTACAGCAAATGTTGTGGCTGGATCAGCACTTGCTGTTCTTATTATGACTACAAGAGGTACTCCAGCAACAACTATCAGGGAACTTTGAAAAGACAAAGTATATTACTTATGAGTTCTAAAGAGTACATGGCATGCCAAGGAGCATACAGTGAGTTTGTGAGGAGAGGGAGAGGATGAGAGAGGGCATGGACATGGAGTTCTGACTTGACTGGAGTTGAGGT